TTTGTTTATTTTATTTATTTGTTTTGTTTGTTTTATTTTATTTATTTGTTTTGTTTGTTTTATTTTATTTATTTGTTTTGTTTGTTTATTTTATTTATTTGTTTTGTCTAGTTTATTTGTTTTGTTTTTGTTTATTTTGTTTTTTGTTTGTTTTGTTTGTTTTGTTTGTTTGTTTGTTTGTTTGTTTCCCTGTTTGTAGACACAAACTATATTGCATTATTTTACTTATTTTACCTACTTTATTTTATTTATTTAATTTAATTTAATTTAATATATTTGTTTAATTTATTTTATTTTCAGAGCGCATTATGACAAAGCAAAAGACAGCTGGGATGGTAGTCAAGGGGCTCGCCGAGAGCTTATTGCTTCGCTTTTCCCCAGCAGCAGCAGCAGCAGCAGCAGCACCAGCAGCACCAGCACTAAACAATCTTCTAAGCATAAGACGCAGTAAATCATGCTGCAGCGCCTGCTGCTGCTGCTGCTGCTGCTGCTGCTGCACATGAAGCAGCTGTTGCTGCAGCAACAGCTGCTGCTGCAGCAACAGAAGTAGAAGCATGTGCAGCAATAACAGCTGCAGCAACAGTAGCTAAAGCAGCAACAACAGCTGCAGGAACACTAGATGCAGCAGTAGCAGCAGGTGCTGCTGCTGCTGCTGCAACAGTTGCTGCAGCAAAATATGCTGCAGCAGCAATAGCTGCAGCAACAACATTAGCCGTAATAGCAGCAACAACAGCAGCGCTCTCCTACTGCAGCATCAGCAGCAGCAGGTGCTCTACGAGCAAACGCAGGATGAGAGTCGTTTGTGTTGTGCTGCAGTTGTTTGCAGCAGCAAATAACAGCAGCAGCTAATAGCAGCAGCAGCAGCAGCAGCAGATACGATGAACAGTGTTTGTCTCCTTTTGTCTCCCCCCTTTGCCTTCCCGTCGAGAGAAGAAGAGGTGTTTTTGTTTGTTTGTTTTTGTTCGCTCTTCTTCTTTAATTTGTTTTGTTTTGCTGTTTTAGTTTTTATTGTTTTGTCCTTTTGCTCTTTTGTTATTATTACTATTATTAGTAGTAGTATTATTATTTATTATTATTATTTATTGTTATTAATTATTATTGTTATTATTATTATTTATTATTAATATTATTATTATTTATTAGCATTATTATTTATTATTTTTAGTAATAATAGTAGTAATATCATCACTATTAGTACTCTTAACATTACTATTATTATTACTATTATTATTATTATTATTATTAATATTAGGGAGAGAGTTGCTGCTAATCCACTGCTGCAGCATCGGGCTGCAGCTGCTGCTGCTGCAGCTTCGGGCTGCAGGACATCACCGAC